GTAGGAGATCTGTAAAAGCTGAATCTTTCATCAGAGTTGGTGGAAGAATCTGTGAGTAGTATATTAGAATGATGCTCTTTCTTCTCTGCTTATGGGGATTTTCTTTCCTGCATAGACTTCACAGATTCTTTTCTGTGCTTGCATCAGGCAAACCACAGATTAACAACAACTATACAGAGGCAAATTTATGGACATGCGACAGACGTTGCAATTCGCCCTCTGAATGAAGAAAAAGCTGTTCAAGCTGCTGCTGACCTGTTGGGTGAACTCTTTGTTTTTACGGTAATACTGAATTTCTTCTCGTGTATCATTTTAGATTGGGTCTCTGAGTTCATTATTCTTAAGTCCTTTGTCTTGAATTTTTTTAGCGTGTAATTGATTTTTCTACCCCGTGGTTTGACTTGCTCTCAATTTGCTCTGGTGAGGATGTCCTGCCTTTTGGTCTATTGTTGTTAATAATTGTTGTATTAACAAATAACAATAGGTATGTTTCTTTTCAGTGATATTTAGAATTTGACCATGCTTGACTAACTCTGATGGTCATTGTGGGTAGTGATCCTGTCCACTTCAAGACATAAATGCCATCTTGCTTTATATTTGAGCAATTTTGTGCGTTCTGCTTTCTTTTGTTGTATTTAACTCTTTCAACAATATAAAAGTACCAATATTTTATGCCTGAAAGGACAAAACAAAACATGCTTGTCAGACAAGAAAGATTTATATATCTTAGAAGGATCTCACTGTTCTTGAATTTTTTCCCCTTTATGTGTTTTTTAAAATTGAAAATATTTGTCATTAGGCTGTCAATGATTGTTCTACAATACGCTTAAGTTGTTCTACAACAAAATTTGTTGTTCTTTGTATTTAAAGAAAGTTAATTAAGAAGTAAAAGGTTTAATTTTTTATCACTACAAATGATGGTTGCAAAGAAGAACAAAAACTGACTGAATCAAATGGAGCACTTTTCTAGGCAAGAAGGAAGTAATAAGAGAGTACACCTATGAACAAATTCTATATATGGAAGTAAAAGATTTGCACCTACAGTGCAATGCTACATATGGTTAAATGAAAAATTAACCCTCTATGGACAAACTAATAACACGAAGAACTATGAAAATTAATTGAAGGTACATTTAAAGAGGAGAAAGGACCATAATATTTTGAGGGAAAAAATCAAACGGAGGGGAGGGCAAGAAAGTATAACAAAATCTTTTGGGGAAAAGTTAGGAGATAAAATCAAATTTATATAATGTTAGAAGTAAAAATGCAGTTTGTCAGAAGTTCGGGGCTACTGCTGCTGCTGCTCCCCCATTGCCTCCGCCACTGGTGATGGATATTGTGAGTTGTGACTCAACTATATCCATGAATCACGTGAAAGAGTGCAACTTGTAGAATCAACCAACAGATGGCACTTAATTTTCATGACTATATGGTGAAAAGTAGGATCTCTTCTGAAGGACGACATGCTTTATACTTGTTCTCGTTTGTTTTCAAGTAAAGGTAACAAATTTTACAGTTTTAGGCCAAATTGGAAATGGTGTATTGTTGGGTGCAAGTAGTAAGATTACCGTTCGGGAAACAAATTGTAACAAGCACAGTTGTTTGGAGGTGTAAGATGAAATTATTTACTTGTGTTATTTTGTAGTGCTAAAACTGGATGTGCATACTCTTTCAAGTTATTTGTTGTGATTCTCTTTCTTTGTCTTTCTGCTTAAGACACTATCTCATGGTCCATTTCTTTTTATTAGGTAGTCGGAGTGGCTGTTCTCTTTGAAGTGCAAAGAAATGCTAGATCAGAAGCTAGAAAGGAAGAAATGCGTAAACAAGAACTAGAGGTCTGTATTTTTTGTTCATGTAGTTTCTTTTTTCTCCTTTTCTGATGCTTTTTGTCTCTATTCTCTTTAAGATTTCTCTTTCAAAATAATTAGGCGGTATGTTCAATGGGGAAAATGATTGTCTGGACTTTTATGATGACCTATTATTAAAATAGTTCTCCATTTTGCTGTGATGAGTGCTTTTCTGTTGTCATATTCTGGTATACATCACTTTCCAAAGTCACTTGTTCCCTTTGAACTGTCTACATAAAGATAGCAACCGGATCAACTGCCAAAAAATGTAGGATATGGACATTCCCCTGATGGGATCCTGTAAATGTCCTACGCTTGTGAAATTCTAATGGTTTTGTGGACATCTCATCTGGAACGCCTTTGTTAGGTCCAAAAGAACATTATAATGAATTAAATGGCACACTGTAAAGACTTGTGAATATTTAAAAATCAAGATGGGACACATATCATAAAATTGTTTGTTTAAAGGAAGGTAAAGTGGATAAGGAGAATTGAATCTTGTTCTGTTAATGACTTATTCTTATGGTAAGTTCAATGTTCTGCACTGATCAATGCCAGTTGTTATTGTTTCCTTGTTATGGTGAGTCCTGCGTTCTGCAGTGATGAATTCCATTCGTTATTTTTTCTAATCACCTCATTTTTTAAATTTACCTGTTTCAATTTCGCTAGTTTCATCAAAGTCCTTTTTAAGAAGTATGGGATAGGAACACTTCCAATATCCCATGATTTTTATGGCTTACATGTGTAAGGCTATGACACTTGAAGGACATCTGGTGTGATATTTCTTTTGCTAATTGTAAAGTGAACATGAGTTGGTCAAACCACATCGCTTGTTAAGAGACTTGTTAAGACTTGAACATGGCTCACCATTTTATCTGTTGAATATTGTAAAGACTGCCTATATTTAATCATTCTGATATCTAGGAACTTGGAGTGCTCAGAAAATAAAAGCAACTTGGAGGACCCTGTACACTTTGATTTCCTCATGGTCTCATGGTGCATGGTCATTTGTGATAAAGCATAAATGACTGTGGAGACCATATAATGCATATGCTAAGAAAGTTGGTTGCCTTTATTTGTACGACATGCTCCTAAACAATCATCATCTAAAGGTGTATATGATACATTTTTATTCACCCACATCACAACTCATTGCTATACTGTAGATTGCTAAATTACCATCTAGAAACATTGTGCATCTAGTACTGAAATAGGCTGCACATGTCTGCTGTGAAATTTTGATATGGCAGATTATCATGGGTTCTTAGCTTCTGTTGCTTTGGTCATTTGTGTCTGTGCAGTATGCTAGCTAGCTAGGTAAAGCCATACACTATAGCTAGAAGATGCTTAATCATATCATTCACAGGGAAGAGAAGTGCCTGTCTATGCGACATAGTTATTGTCAAGAATTTCTTGACATTATTCTTTTTGTTTTTTTTTTTATTTAATACATTGTTGAGCAATCAAGCAGTAGTTTCTTGGTCCTTTTTTTTGCAGCAGAGTATCAGAGTAAAGTCCATGAAATTATCCCTTTGCTAACTTTGCGCATTTTCTTCACTAATTTGACATGAAACATGCTTATTTCTTCAATTAGTTTTTGAGCACGTAGGAAATCATGGAGTTAAACATTTTTCTGCGCAGGAAACCGAGTAGAGTTGAGGTTATTTCTCTCAATGTGAATTCCTTCTGCTTCTTTTTTTCATATGAGAAATTAATTTGTTGTCATTCATATTAGGCATTGAAGCAACGAGATGAAGATTTGTCCAAAGAAGTTGAGATTCTCAAGTGCAAAGTCGTGGAACTGGAGCACCTTGTTAAAGGACGAAGGCATAATATTTTCAGCTTGAAGCAAGCTGATAGCATGAATGACAAAGTTAAAACTTGATTTATTGTCGTGTCATGGCAGTAAAAACTTGTACAATGGGAGTCGAAATACTCAGAATGGAACTTTGACCAGAGATGCAAATTTTAGGCATTTCTGAGGATCTGTAGCTGCTCTTGCCAAACTAATATGACTCAAAAATTCTTGACTCCTTGCGGGAGCAAAATCAGATAATACAAGTTGTAGAAAGATGTATGTTCACCATCTTTTTATGTGGATCAGCTGGACTAGATAAAGCGCATTGGGATATTAAACTTGCAATAGGGAGCCGAAGCAGAGTTCTGTCTCTTTTGCTCTGCATGTCTATTAGCGCGAGTACATTCAGCTGTACTCTATTTTGTAGCATTTTCCTGATCAACCACCATCATCAGCCACTGTTTCATGTCATTCCTTCCACATTGAAATCGCCAACCAAAAACCAGAACCACTTCAAGCAATGGCTAAACACAATATCCAGAGAGTTTATTTGCAAAATGAAAAGATTTATCATGCTATTAGACCACCAGAGTGTTAATTTCGGGGACCAAAAATCTGGTGGCTATGGTTTCTTTTATGAAACTCTTATTATTATTATTTTTTTGGTTGGTTATTGTGATTTCAATCTTTTTCTTGGTGGTAAACTCTTGCAATTTATAGGCAAAAACTAGTAAATTAAATCGGTGTTTTTTTCCCTCAATTTTCTGGTTTTAACACCATATATGATTTTGGGCAATTTAATGTCAATTTGACTCTGTGTATAAAAGGATTTGTTTTGAAGTGGTAATTTGACAATATGGTTTTGTTGGAGCAATGGAGGTGCAACAAATGTAAAAGAGCAATTGAAGGAAGAGTCGGGATTTGGCAGTAATATAGTAACATTTTAAGGAAGCAGTTTTTTATTAAAAAAAAAAAAAGAATTTCCTTGTTCCTTCCGGGGATTATAAAAAAAAAAAAAAAAAAAGCACCAATAGAATTATAAACAAACCGAATAAGTAGAATAAAAACAGAACATTGGAAATATTAACTTACAACTTACAGTTAAAAACAGAACAGATAGATATCAATACGTACATTAAAACATTGGAAATATTAACTGCTTAAAACATTGTCCAAACTTTGTTCAACGGATAGATATGAATACGGGGAATATGTGCAATCTTGGGCACTCTGCGCCACTTCCTTTGGTGCATCTCTCTGCTAAAAGAGGACACCTGGTGATAGATAGATAATTTAAATTGTGAGGTGTCGCATTGCTTCTGCAGAGGCAATTGTCTGAGGTAGAGCATTACTAGTCACAATTTTCGAAGATTCCGAAGGCTACCCATCCACTCTGGAAGAACTTCCAACCCCTCAAACCTGCAAAGAAGTAAAGTTCCCAAGGTAGAGAGATGCTGAAGTTGGTCTGGGAGAGACGTGATTTTTGGCCATCCATACAATCCAAGACTCTCCAGAGAGACGAGATTGGTGGTGGAGTGTGGCCACGGGAAATGATCAAGGTCGTCAGAGAAGCCACCGAGTTCCAAGCTCTGTTTTCAAACTCGGACCGGACCGGCCGGTCGAACCGGTTGAACCGGGAACCGGCCAGGTAGCCGGTCCGAGTCACATTAGAAAACCGGAAATTTAAAACCCGGTCAAAGCCGGTCAAAAACCGGGTTTGACCGGGTTTGACCGGGAAAAAACCGGTTTTTCCGGTTCAACAGTATTTTTTTAAAAAAAAATTCAAACTTTTTAATATTATGTTTTGACCCCCTAAATTGTTAAAACTTATTGATATACCTCAAATATTTGATACTTTATAAATATTGTCCTAAAATTTGATGTTATTTTTCAATTAAATTCATAATTTTAATTCTAAACTTGTTAATATTTATTAAATAATATAAATTGCTACTTGATTGTTCTAATTTCTTTGTATTTTCTTGTTAAATATATTTGAAACATCAAATATATATGAATATGTCTTTATTAATATCAATATATTATTAGATATTATATATATAACATTTTAATTTTAAAATAATTTTTATTTATGACGTCATCCGGTTCGACCCCTATCGACCCCCGGTCGAACCCATTGACCCCTGACCCCTGACCTCGGCCGAGTCGCTATCCGGTCCGGTTCTGAAAACATAGGTTCCAAGTACCGGAGACTAGGGAATACCTTAATTGATGAAGAAGAATCCGAGGGAACCATTGCATCTGACCACTCCTCTAGCCTTTTCATGTTCCGCAGCCTAAAATGCTGTAGTTTCGGAAACAGAGTGACTGGTTTCGCCTCTCTGCTACTGGTGCTGCTACTACAAGAAGCACTGCTCCTTGCATTAATATCGAGATGTGTAAGGAGACCATAGAATTCTGCCCCAATGCGCTTCACATTGTGTAAGGAGACCATCGCTAAGGACTCGAGACAAGGCAAGTCCCCTAGTGATGGTACTTGTTCACACTTACCCAATTTCTCCAACCTGAGGTGTACCAGATTCCTTAGGAGTACCGTCACGTGATCCTTTGCCACCATCCACGACGGAAACCTTGAACCTTTGAAACCATTAATGGCTAAACTTTTCAAGTCTGGGTGAGGTTGGAGACCTTCCATGACACTATTGATATTGTCGTCATCGCAATCTTCATTTGTATCATCCCATTCAAGTGTTAAACTTTGAATGCTTGATTTTTCGGACAACTTTGCTTTTGCTGCCGATTCAAAGCTGCTCACATTCTCAAGTCCAAAAATTTCTAGCTCGCCTTGGAGGTTGCGCAAGTGTTCCAGCTCCTCAAGCTGACATCCCTTGTCTTGGCTTACCATGAAGTAGGGCAGCGTCCGAAGATTAGCCAGCTGCCCAATCCCAGGGAACAAACATCGGGGCCAACCCCCAAAAACCATGGAAAACTCGAGATGCCTCAAGTTAATTAAATTGCTGAACTTCTTAGGTATCTCTTCCAAGCGACTTACTTTCAAGGTCATCAAATTGTAGAGCTTTGTGATCGAATCTGGCAGAGCGGTGATACCAGTTCGACTGATATCAAGATGTCTTAAATGTTTCATATCACCCACTGCATTCGGGAGATGAGTAACAGCCCTGCAGTCTACTTTTAATACAGAAAGGTATTTAGAACTTTCCAAGATGTCTTCAAGCATAATACCATCATCCCCAATATAATAAAGCGTTTGCAAATTTGGAGGAATCCCTTCGATATTCTTTAACATCTTTCCTCGACTCAGAACAACGGTCAAATGCACAACTTCATCATTATGACTGACCACCATGCCATTCTCTGTATTTAAGAAACAATTATTTGACACTCGCAGTGAAAGATCATGCACAAGGTCGTGCATCCGGCAGCTCCGAATTCCGTTAATGGAATTCTTATAACCAGCTTGCAACAAAGAACTCCGAAGCAATACGTTGAAGCAGTCGCTGCCTATATCCTCCATTTGCAAATGACCTCCTCCCTTGGCATCATTAATCAATCCCTGGGCCATCCAAATCTGTATCAAGCTTTCTTTTCTCATGTCAGCGTCCTTCGGGAAAATGGAACAACTTGCAAAGCATTGTTTCACTGACAATGAAGGTAAGTTTTCGTAACTCAGCTTCAGGACAGACATGACTCCACCTTCAGTGTTGGTAGACTCATTCCATATTTCACTCTTCTCAAGCTTCAACCATTCCGAGCCATCCTTTTTGGAATACAACAAACCCCCAATCACTTTGATTGCTAATGGCACGCCGCCACACTTTTTCAGTATCCTTCTGCCAATGTCCGCCAGATATTGAGTCTTTCTTGCACCACCGTCTGCAAAAGCTAGTTTTTCAAACAACATCCAGCTATGATCATCTGAGAGGATGTCCAGATGATGTAAACGAGATGCTTGCATTGCTGTGGCTACCTCATCACTACGTGTGGTAGCCAATATTTTGCTTCCTGGAGCACCCCCTATTGCCAACAAACGTCCCCTCATGCCATCCCATTTCTCTCGATTCTCATTCCAAATATCATCAAGCACAAGCAAGTAATTTTTTCCTTTCAGATTTTCTTGAAGCTTCCTCACCAGTGCTTCCGTGTTTGTCGTCTCAGCACTTTTTCCCTCAAAGGAATTGTAGCATCTCGTTCAACAGCCTCTCCACTTTGAAATCATCAGACACACACACCCATATTGTTTTATCAAAGTGCTTTGCTACACACTCATTTTTTAGCACCAGCTGTGCAAGGGTTGTTTTACCCTGGCCACCCATCCCAACTATTGAGATGACAGGTAAATCCTTCTTATAGTCTGAGCTAATTAACATGCTTACAACTTGAGATGCCTCAACTCCCCTTCCCACCGTTTGTGATTCGTCCACAAAAGGATCAGTCGACCGATCCTCTTTTTGATCAGCAGATGTCATGCGTATTTGAGCTGGATGAAGCCCGATTTGATTTGCTTCTCTGTAAGCTTCCTCTAGAGATGCGCTAACATTCTTGATCTTGTTAGCCATCTCTGTACGAAAGGAAATAGGATTTGAGGAAGAAAAGAAGTTGCGTACCTTGTCGCGCTTCCGATTCTCAACCTTCTGCCGCAGAACTTCATATCCGAAGTCATCCAACACGATCTCAGCATCACGTGCTATGGACCGGAGCCTTTTGAGCCAGAGCTGCACGGCTTTGCTTGTTGATTGCTTGCACTTAGCATCAAAAATCAAAGCTTCCATCATCTCTACTTTCTTCGCAAGCTTCTGAAGGTCTTTCTCTACACCCCATACCCGGCTGATCTCGTCGGCAGCAAGTGGAAGTATCTTATCCAAGATCACACCAACAAAACTAAGCACGGTGTCAGCCATCTTCAAGGGAAACTCTTTAACAGATGAAGGTAAAATGCTTTGTTTGAAGTTGAACAGTTGAACTATATTTTTTGCAGGCAGAGATGGTCAACATTCAAACAGCTAGCGTTAGAAAGCAGGGAATCCATTACTTATCTTCCATTTCACTTTTAACAAAACGAAATTTCCTACCAGGTTGGAAAACTAATAAATAAAAAAAAGTACTGCTCCAAGAAAAGACTAGAGATGATGTCCAACGACCAATTCAGGACCACACGGCTTGTGGCCTTGTGGGTACCATTGAAATAATTGAATCCATAGACCAAACCAACTTTTTGTTCTTGTGGCAGCATTCATGTATTTGGGTAAAGTGACTACTACACTTGCAATCGAGCAATGCAACTTTGCATATGTGACAAAACTTATCTGTGCCTATGCTTACACTACATTACCCCAATGTTCTCATAATTCATTGCCTAACGCTGGAGAGAAGTGTTAAAAACAGAAAAAAAAAAAAAAAAAAGAAGCTTTGTTTCTTTCTTCAACGGAGCAATGCAGCAGCATGTATCTTCCATTTATTTTTTTTGTTTTTCTTTTCCGTGGCTTTTGGTTGGGTCTTCACAAGTTAATGCAAAAAATGGTACTTATGATAACAATAACTAGAATGGTATAAAAGTCTCGTCGGATGCAATGTGGGTCTCGTTTGTCAAATGAATTTTTGATAGTTTGTCTAAAATTTTACTGTAATTTACTATAAAAGTTGTAGAAAAAAATTTTAAGATATAAAAACTTTTAGATATTTTTAAATGCATAATTTATAAACTTTGAGAAATTTTTTTAATGTACTACTATAATTAAATTTGCTAAAAAATTTGTAACAAATAAATTAATTTGTCAAACAGGATTTTGGAACTCAAAAGAAGACATGAGTAAAAGATTCTCAGAGAAAGGGTGTGAAAAATTAAAGAAAAGATTTGCCCAACATTGAACTTTCAACCTCTAGATGCTCATAATGGTCTATACCTATGACTAAGTGTGCCCAGACAAGATCCTACAATATATGCAAATGCCTAACCATACATCCAAATCGTGGTCTCCACCAGCACATGTTCATAAAGCAACTACTGACTCACGGCACCACCAACCATGAATGTGGAGGGCCGGGAATCAAATTATTCCCATCTACTGAATTGATGGAAATATATCAGCTTGATGAGAGAATCAAGAAAAGAAACAAGAATGTAAATTCCCATGGACACATCACAACAGCATTTGGTTGTATCATTTGACAATTTCAATACCTAAAGACCCTTTGACTAAAAGTGACAATTAACAACACAGTTAACCGAATATTGCGAATATAATACATACACTACAAGGTCTTTCTTTCATTGAATCCAAGAGAAGTTTATTGGCAGACGCTATGAGCCGGAGATGTTTCGATTTTTCCTCAGTACATGCAAATATTATCAGGTACAAGAAGCTAGTGTTGAACAGAGGACCAAGAGTTTGTCTCTAACCAATTGAAGGCTATAGGGCTCAAGAACGCATCAGGAATGCCAAAGGAGCTGACTAACGAAAGTGCATGCGGTCTCAGTTCCCCACAAAGCTTTGCAACTTCTTTTCTCACTGCTGCAGCATTGTCTACTGACAGGAAGCCGTATCGGAGAAACGCAGAGTCTTCTTCCAAGGTAACGAGGGCATACATGGATCTCAAAAGACCTAATATACTCTGCAAGAAGATTCACAATCGATTAACCATGCGCTGTAAGATGATAGTTAGCCAATGGATGTTGTTCATCTTATTCGTCAATATTCAATTATCAACTAGATACAGAAAATCGTATCAAAATTTCCATCCACACACAACATGAGCTCAAGATACACTCCACAAAATGATACTTCTCTGAAGTTTCCTAAACAAAGCCATAACAATCTGTGCTATCATTCCTCAAGAGGAGGAATTCTTCTGTTACTTGTGTTTTTCATATACGAAGGTTAAGTTGGACGCCAGAGGCTTCTGTGTAGGACACATTACACCAGAACACTTCATGGGTATGACGGCTTCTGTTTAAAACATATGGACATACAGAAACCGCAAAATGCTTATAGTTTATACGGTGGCTATTACCTTAAGAGTGGCATCCGTTACAGTAGTCTCAGCATCCACAAAAGTTTGAAAAATTGCCCGGTCGGAAAACGCTCTGCCCAAGTCTTCAGCGAGCTGATAGCTCTGGGAAGATGGACACAGTACCCTTGAGAGAGAGAGAGAGAGCAGTGATAGGTGCCGAACCTGTTCAATAATAAGTACCTACTCGAGAAAAATACAGATTTTGTATATAGCGGTGAGTAGGGTCGAATTCACAGGGACTAGGGATAATTCGTTTCTTCTAGAGTCCAAGGTATGGGGGGTTTTGGATTAAATGCTAACTAAATAAATTAACTGCAAAAAATAATTGATTACGAGAAATAATTAAGGGAAAACTCTAGCCAAGGGTACACTTCAGAAATGGTTCAGGCACTGATCATTGATTCACAGATAATTCCACATTTATTAATAGATTAGTTATAGTTGTCATGCACGTGATAAACGACCAACCTTTCCTTAATTTCCCGATAGTTAAGGTACGACCGTTAACTATTTCTCTAACCCAAAAACAACCCTAGGTACGACCGTAGGATTTAATTTCTAGATTGCATTAATAATTAGAAAGGCCCAATCCTAACTAACAAACACGCTACGAGGGTTTGTTTAAGCTAGATCGTATGCTCCCCAGACATAAACCCAATTACGCCAGTTGCTACTGAGATAGGGATAACGAACAATTACGGATTCAATTACCCCTATTTAGCAAAATAGCCTATATGAATAATTAATTATTGTGCACTAATCAATCATACATAAGGACTAAAACAATTAAAAACAGGAAACACATAAATACCAATAAATGAGGAAGCGATTAAAATAATTTCGATCTCACAGTAATTGTTGAACTAAATCTTCAGTTGTTCCCTTGACTAGAATTAAGAGGTTAGTCCTCCATTAATGGAGAACAACCATGCGAAAGAGCTAAGAAAAGAAAACTAAAAATATGCTAAAAGCCTAAACTAAAACTATTGATTGATAAGAGTTCTCTGTACGTTTGTCTCCTTTTTAAAGCCAACAATGACTAAAGCTTCTTATCCCTGTGGTCCCCTGCTGAAATTGAGAATCAAACCAAAAGTGGGGCTCTACCGAATTCCTTGCTTTTAGTTTCCTATTGCCCGTAGGACTCCAATCTCCTAATCAGCAAAGGAAATGCAATCTCTTTGTAGCACCATGTGGGCCCGGTTGTTTGAAATCCCAATTATTTCCAAAAAGTCCCTCATTTTTGTAGTTTTCTGTTTCACTTCCTGAAATTGAGTCCAATACCAAATATAAGTAAATATTAATAATTAAAACAATATTTGGCAAGGATAAAGGAGAAAATTAACAATAAAATAACCAACAATTAACACCCTATCAAGCAGGTCTCACAATGGAACTTATATTTAAGAAGAGAATCTAACCATTACAAAAGCGTGTTCTTTGCTCTCTCCTTGTGCTTGGCGTTGTGAAATTTCAGAAGCAAAACGGTTCAATAGGTCTCTCTCTCTTAGACATCACATATCATGCTGTGACAAAAAATGTACCAGAGAATTTACAACCTATTTCAAGAGGAATCAACTTAACGAGGAATGAAAGAAAAGCTTCATCACCTCAAAGTCAATGCTCCTCATGACAGTACTTGTTAGCTGAGAAGGTATAACAGGGGAAGGCTTGTTCATGTGCTCTAAACCCAACCCTATTCCGCATTTTTGCCGCTACATATTCTGCCAAGAGTGCCTTACTAACCTGGCACCAGACATCCCATTGTTAGCTGCTAGCATTAGTTGCAAAATCAACACATCCGTCAACGAGTGCCATTTCAAATTACTAGCAACATGAGTGTCATGAACTGGATGACATTATTGTCATATGGCCTTAGAAATTTAGTTTGAGAGCCTGATGCACGGTAAACTTACTAGAGCAGATGGCTTTGTTTCATTCTTGAACAAAGCGATAGAGTAGCATATATATTCCATTTCAAAAATTTAAGAAAGAAAATCCACTTGTTGTCTATCGTCTCTGAGAATCAAGAAAAATAGACACGTGCGCTTTGCGTCCTGCCTTGCAAACCAGCCAAAACTCGCGGGAGTCACACATGTGAAGTGAAACCCTTTTCATGGCTGAGATTGAGACTACTGACTGAATATTGCAATTATAATATACACAATACACGATGCATAATTCAAATAATCACATTACAAGGATTTCATTCATTTAATCCAAGCGAAGTTTATATAATGACCGAATTTATTGTATTGTATTGAGATATCTGACATTTCTGCAGTTATTTTAGCACTAGAATAAAATAAAGGGATAATTGCAGAAACCTCCCTGAGGTTTCTGACATTTGCACTGACCTCCTCTGTGGTTTGAAAAATTACACTGACCTCCCCTGAGGTTACTAATCCTTTGCAAATTTAGTCTAAACAATTAAAATATTATTTTAAGGAGTGAAATTAGAATTTTGTACTAGATTTGCCCTTTGTGCTATATATCCAATGAATGACAAAGTACTATAAATCAATTAACAATTAATAAACTTTAAGGAGTATAATTTATAGGCAAACACGCATTACTCATTTAAAGTACCGACTCTTTATGAGTATTTTACTTTCAAATATTTAATTTATGATAAATATATCAATATTTGTAAGTAAAATTCAAAAATTGTTATAGTAATATTCTTGCAAAAAGGAAATCGATAGGTTATTTATGTAATACAAATTAAATATTTTTTAAAAAATAAATAAATGGCCCATAAAGTATTAATTTTTTATGGCTTTCATCCATTACACGAGTAAAGTATTCGCTCTTTATGTGCATTTTATTCTGAATTATTTAATTTATGTTAAATACATAAATGTTTGTAACTAAAATTGAAAAAGTGTTTATTAATATTTTTACGGAAGAGAAATTGGTAGGTTTTGTATTTAACAAAAATTAAATATTTGAAAGTAAATACAAATCTGTATTTGAGCTTAAATATTTGTATTAAATTAAATATTTAAAAGTAAAATACCCTTAAAGAACCGGTACTTTAAATAGTTACAGGCTCTTTATAGGCAAACACGCATTACTCATTTAAAACTACGACTTTTTACGGATATTTTACTTTCAAACATTTAATTTATGATAAATATATCAATGTTTGTAAGTAAAATTCAAAAAGTGTTACAGTAATATTCTTGCAAAAAGGAATCGGTAGGTTATTTATTTAATATAATTAAAAAAAATGGCCCATAAAGTATTAATTCTTTATGATTTTCATCCATTACATGAGTAAAGTATTGGCTCTTTATGGGTATTTTATTCTGAATCATTTAATTTATGTTAATACATAAATGTTTGTAACTAAAATTGAAAAAGTGTTATATTAATATTTTACGAAAGAGAGATTGGTAGTTTTTGTATTTAACAAAAATTAAATATTTGAAAATAAATACAAATATGTATTTGAGCGTAAATATTTGTATTAAATTAAATGTTTGAAAGTAAAATACCCATAAAGAGTCGGTACTTTAAATAGGTAATGCGTATTTGCCTATAAACTATACTCCTTGAAGTTTATTAATTGTTAATTGATTTGTAATATTTTGTCATTCATTAGACATGTAGTACAAAGAACAAATTTGGTAAAAAATTCTAATTTCACTCCCTAAAACAATATTTTAATCGTTTGGACTGAATTTGCAAAGTATTAGTAATCTCAAGGGAGGTCAGTGTAATTTTTTAAACTATAGGGGAGGTCAGTGCAAATGTCAGAAACCTCAGGAGAGGTTTCTGCAATTATCCCTAAAATAAATTAGTAGTGATTGAACAGGTCTAGTTCTTTTTTGCATGATCTCAACTTTTGTTCATGTTGAGTCAAGTCGATCATTTGACCGATCACCTCGTAAGTAGCTTGCTAGCTCTGTTTGATTAGTTTGCATCCCTATTACAACTTGTATCTTTGACTTGCACCTACACGGGGTCAAAAATTTATGAGTCATATTAGTTTGGTAAGAGCAGCTACAGATCCTCAAAATGCGCATTTAGCAAATCTATTTGGATCCTTCAATATTTCAAAAACTAGTTTTTCAAATAAAAATTTTTAAAAAATATTCTTAAAAAATAGTCTAAATTTTTTTTAATATTTAAAAAATATTCTAAAATATATTTTAAAAACTCTGCTACTCTTAAATATTTCAAAATACTTTTTAAAAATATCCTAAAATATACTTTTAAAACTCTGTTACAGTAAATTTTTTTAAAAATACTTTCAAAAATAGCTAATCGAAACGGAGCCGCCTGATCAAAGTTCCATTAAAGTATTCTGGCTCCCAGTTTAAAGGTTTTTAGCGTCTGTGCCAAGTCACTAAATCAAGTCTTGAATTTGTCATCCGTGCTACCAGCTGGCCACAAGTTGGAAATATGATGTCCTCGTCGTTTTCACAAGGCGCTCCAGTTCCAAGACTTTGTGCTTAAGAATCTCAACTTCTTTGGGCAAATTTTCACAGACGACCAATTAATAATAATATCTCATAGAAAAAAAAGCAAGGAGAATTAATCCCTAGCTCTGCCCTTTTTTTTGGGGCAACCCCTCACTCTACTTAGTTTCCTCCACGGTAAAAATGTTTCATTTGCCCAATTTGGACAATAGTGCATGATTTCCTATGTGCTCAAAAACTAATTGAGGTAATAAGCAGGTTTTCTCTTCTGGATGCCGCTTCTTTTTACTTCTTCAAATGCCACCCATCAAGGAGCAATGTTGCATCTTCGTGTAACTCCTATGATTCTCTCTCTGTTTGGTCCGTTATTGTTTGCAAGATTCAACCCATTCATATTTTGGGCCAATTGGAGTGATCTGTCAGAGTCAAAAATTTCAGAATCAGCAACAACAACAACAACAACAACACCCACCCCCCCCCCCCCCCACCCCCGGCGGGCCAAAAAAAAAAAAGAGAGATTTTGGTCCTAAATTTCTGTGTCACTGTCCAGGCAGCCTTTCGTTCTTTGTCTGAATAATCAGTTTTTTATTCTCAAGATTTCTGGTCAGTATCATGGTCAAGTAGATAAGTTCTTTAGGATCAAATGCAGTTGCACCATTGGCAAAGCTACCATTGGCTCAAGAAAAATACCTATATTAGACGGGAGTATTTGAAAAGAAGATTTTCATTTCAAATTTGTTAATTTTTTTTTTAACAGAAGCACATGTCTATTGTAGTAATTTGATAGCAGTGTTCACAAAATGGGAAAAAAAAAGTGAATTTTCATAATGTACTACTTCAATTATCAAATGTCTAGTGCTTTAAAGTTTTCTAGATTAATGAATCTTTTCAGTTAGAAAACTTTTAAATTACTTTAATCAGTCTTTTTAACAACTATAGAGCTCTTTAGAGTTTGCATAAGTTACAGCTTGATAAATAAATTAAAAAAAAAACAGAAATGCAACTTAAACGAGAGCAGGTAATGCATTAGAAAAGAATATTCAGAACATGAGAGAATGCTGAGTAACTCGAATAATTAGAAAGTAAACGAAAATGATGAAAAAGGTGTTCATTCATTTACATGCAAAGAAGTTTATAATGAGAATACTTTCTGGCAGAAACCACAAACCTGAGATATTCCAAATGCTGTTAGCATGTCATACATGGAGAATCAAACAAGAAGCTAGATGAGAACGGAGAAGCAAGAATTTGCTTTCATCTGATTGTCATCTAGAGGGCTTAAGAAAGTCTCAGGACTGCCGACAGAGCTGACAAAGGAAAGTTCAGGTGGTCTCATTTCATAGCAAGCTCTGCAACTTCTTTTCTATGTCTATTCACCCATAATATAACAGGGCGGGCACACAATCACACATGGACCTCAAGTAGCCATGAAAGCACCAGAAACAATTTGAACAACGATGATCAATTCAGGTGCCCCCTTGCAGATATCATGGTATTCACAAGCCAAGCTTGATGCACCTGCAGCATGAATTGATAGACATCAGTTAAATGGATAAGCAGTCTTTTGCTGAATCAAGAAAAATTTAACAGAACTAGGTGTTAAGAATTCTTTTAGCGATTACGTGCCAAAATCTCGACGAACCTGACTGATTTCAGAGAAAATTTTCAGTTGTTCCTAAGGCTCTGCAGGCTGGAGCTGTCAGATCTTTATTGGCCCGAGAATGACATGGAGGATGATTACATTACAGAGCACAAAACTATCTCTACTGCATTCAGCAAAAAGCTATGCTTGTAGTTTTGAGCAATTGCTACCGGTAAAGAATCCCAGTAATCCACAATGATTGACAACGAACCATCTATGCAAATGGGCGATTTAGGATCAGATGCATATGCACCTGCGGCTAAGCTGCCTTTGGCTCAAGGGAAATACCTATATTAGATGCGAGTATTTGATACGAAAATTTACACTTTGCTCCTAATAATTTGTAAAATTTTGTACAGCAGCACATGTCTATTGGAGTAATTTGATAGCAGTGTTCATAAAAGAAAAAAAAATGAATATTCATAGTCTATACTACTTTTAAGTACTAAAGTCTTCTACACAATTTAATGAAACTTTTCATTTTTTTTAAAATTAAATTACTTTAATCTGTCTTTTTACTACTACACAGCTTCAGACAATTTTTTGGTTCATTTCACCATCTTCATAGGTTACTGCTTGAGACAAAATCAGAAACGCACCTTACTGGACAGCAGGTAATTAATGCGAGAAAAAATGAGA